TGGTCGAGAAAGTTCGACTAGCCCGGAGGTCCCGAATGCTCCACTTGACGACGTCAGGACAGTGGAAGTGGAGGGAGAGGTGAAGCTCGCGGGTGAGGTAGGAGCTGTTGCCGAAGGAGATGATGGTCACAAATATCTCCAAGCTTATGCTGGTGCGGGGGGGGGGCAACAAGTACAGGCAGAGGAGGCTCATTCTTAGATTCCACGTTCCATATCCTAATGAGTCGATCTCGCCCGCCTGGGCTGAACTCTCAGGGGCACAGCAGCAACAATCAGGTATCGACGCACCTGTGATCAACGTATCGCCCTGAAAGTTGATGTGGGTGACTCCATCGGCATGTCCATCCACGCTCGTGACTCTCATCGCATCCCTCCTTCAGCGTCAGCCCCCGCCTTTCGCTACCGACACCGCGCACCTGGCCCAGGAGTCCAAGGGCTCCGATCGAGGGTCAAGCGGGTTGGTTGGGTTCCGCATGGAGTTGTCGTTGGACCCTGACGCTCTGTTGGAAGCCTCGCCTCCTCCAGTGTCAGAGCCTGTCAGAGCCTTGCTCTCGCACCTCTCATGCTCGGACTTGCAGGCGACGGCGCAGTCTCCTGGTGCCTATTGCCGACGTCCTTGTCTGGCAGGGGGGCTGCCGCCTTGGTAGGATTCTGAGGCAGCATGATCTGAACGAAGGAGGTCACACGACACCAGCCTGTAGCAAGAGACTTGCCGGGTCTGGAGGAGCGATCCCGATGACAAAGAAGAGCTCTTCCATGTCTGAAGCTACGTGGCCGATCACGTCCTCCAAGTCGACCAGGCTTCCGTCATTGAACCGGATTTGAGAGACAGTAACTGAGCCTGCACCTGGAGCAAGATCAGCAGAGATGGACATGATGAGGTTGGCAGCTGCCTAAGGAGTTGTGCTTCTCATATCTCCTGGCAACATCCACGGCAAGTTCTCCGAAGGTCTGCAGCAGGAAGGAGGCTGAGCGCGAGTTTGAAAGCATCGTCTTGCAAGACTCTTAACCTGATCGTCCTTGTTACATGGAACTCGAAACTTTTGCCCGTTCACGTTCGCCACGACTCTGAGATCCAAGTGAGCAAACAAACCGCATCGAGGCCTCCGATCGCAGACGTTTGCAGGCAGCCAGCATCCACATCGGACACGATGGAGAGAATCTCTTAAAGACTATGTTCATCACATGCACTTCCTCCATGATCAACTAGATGACACCATTCACCTCCCTCTTCTCTTCTCCTCCTCCGCCTCCCTCCCTCTCCCTCTCGTTCATACCGCATGCTCGCCATGCTGAAATCCCCCTACTGAGAATTGCAAACACTGCCCGGAGTGCCGGGACCAGGCCCGACTGGGCATCATGTAACCGTCAACCGTAACGGTGTGTTAAGACCAAATTGAAAAGAACCTTTCAAGTAAAGTTAGTGACTCAAAGAACGAGAACCCACTGCCTCGGATCGCTCAGTTGTGCCGGCTCCGGCGCCTTCTCCTACTTGCCTTCCTTGGCAGCCATCTGCCGGATGTAACCTCAGGCACTGATACACAAGGGTCCGAGAGGTATCGACTGATTGCCAACACCTTGGGATCGAAAGCTTGCTCTCAGTGAAGTCTACATGATGATTGCATAACTTCCAACGACTCCCGCATACACAAACGGCCTTGGAGCGATGAATCCTTTGCAGGAGGTAGACAGCAGCATTCACAACGTCATTAAAAGCTTGTTGAGGCTGCTCATCACTACGCATGTAAACGACTCTCCGTCAACACGTGGTACATGGGTGAATTCGTGCCTTGACAACTTCCTTGTTTCGAACGCACACGTTCAAGGAGACACGCTGTCTATGTCCTACCTTGCCAACTCACTCTGCTCATCTCAAACAGACACCATCCGTAATCTCGTAGAGATGTCTCTGTGTATGAGTTTATTAAAGCTCCTATCTTTTCATTGCACTTCAAATGCACACGCCTCTTGATCCCCCACACGCAAATTGACAGAGCAGGGATGCTGATCCTCTTGCACCTCCCATCCGTCACTTCCTTTCGTCTCTTCCTGTCTCGCCGCCCCTTGCCCACATCCCGTCCCTGCCTCCTCCTCCTTTTCCTCCTCGCCTTGAGTTGTACTCGCTCCGATGTACTCGACGTACTGTGAGGCCGACGACGAGAGCGCCCGCATGAAGCCCAGGCCCTCGTAAGCGTCTATCCACCTGCTGTGACTGGCCTCGTCGTAGCCGAGGGAGAAGTCGAGGAAGATGCTGCGGCGGTCAGACACCGGGCAAGCGGTGAGGGAAGGAGAGCCAAAGTACTGGAAGAAGGAGGACTCGGGGGTGGGGGAAGAGCAGGGCTGTTGGGAAGGAGGGCGATTAGAAGGAGCAGAAAGCGTCTGAGAGTGGTACATGGAAGGCAGAGAGGAGGGAGGAGCAGGCTTGCAACAATGATGCTCGGTAGGAGGCATGTTGAGATGCGAGGAAGAGGAGGAAGATGAAGTAGTTCGAGGTATAAAAGGCCGATTTCCCTTTTATTGACTGAAAAAGAAGCAGATATACAGCTAGCCAAGTTTTATTTTTATATTAGTTTTATATTAAACCCGACGGTGCAGGATCATGGGGAGGAAAGGTAGTGCCTTCTAGCATAGTTTCTGCATCGAGGAAATTCCAAGAAGGAGGGGCTGCCGCTGTGCAGTCTGAGCCCTGCGGTAGAGATAAACAGGTCCGGGTTGTCGTAGACTCCGGCAGGTCTTAAGGGTGGCCCACGGGAGCCACTCAGTGACTCGGACCCTCAGGCTTGCGACTTGAGCCCGAACAGGCTCGTACTGATTTTTAACTTAACTTTGAGTAAAGTATGAACTCCGATGCTCAACCGTTGCGAGGTGACTCTCAAGTCACTGCTACTACGGCAGTGCCAGTCGGACTCCCAGCCTAGCGGCTACAGTACTCACTGTGTGTTTAACTTAACTTTGAGTAAAGTGTGTTTCAATGATTGTCCTGTCCTCCGGAGTGACTGACTTTTTTAACTAACTTCGAGTAAAACTTGAAACGGCGCTAGTACGACCGTCCGAGGCTCTCCCGGAGTGATGAACTTTGTCCGACCGTCCTCGTACTACTGATTTTTAACTTAACTTTGAGTCGAAACTTCAGTAGAGGCTAATACGGGTAGCCTAGTACGCCGTGACGCCGAGTGCCAGTGATTGTCCTCGTACTACGGTACTGTTTCAAGTTTAAGTGAACTTAACTTTGAGTAAACCGTGAACACTGGCACAGTCAGTCACTGAGTCAAGTACGGTCAACTTGCCAAAGATATTCGACGATCATCCGGCACTGCACAATCATCATGGCCGCCCTGCCGCGCCATCGATCCGCCGCCATGATTGTGCGGCACCGTTTGTGAACGGCATGCGGCTGACGGCAGTAATCGGATCGGATCCGGGATCGGAGTGTCCGCCCTGGCGGTACCGTCAATTTGCGCGGGGAAGTAGTGACTGGTTTTTAACTTAACTTTGCGTAAAGAAGATTTTTAACTTGATTTGAAAACGGCCCGGAGGCTGCCGCAGTGCCCAGTCAGACTCTCGGCTTCCGAAGTTCTTTCACTGAACTTCGGAAGTTTCCCGGCGAGGCTTTCCTGGCAACCGTTGGCAATTTACTAGGCTTAGACAAATTTAAAACACTTTTTCTCGGGAGTCACGGGAGGCTGCCACAGTCAAAGGCCAAGTTGCCGTCACAGTGCCGCGGGCGCGACTCGGATGTACCGTCGATACTACGGTAAGTTCGACTCAGTGCCGCGTGCAGCGGTCAGCGGCGCCCGGCCGGGTTATGGAACTTCTGCCATGATGATACGGAAGTTCAAGTTACTACACTGTGACCAGCAACCTGTGAGGCCCAACGGTTGGCAAGTTGGCGATCTGATAGCCTTTCACTCCGGAAGTCTAGTACACCGACTTTCAGGAGTCTTGAAAGGAGCCCACATGCAGCTGCCAGGACTGAGTGCAACTTGGCAAGACTTCCGGAAGTTGGACTCCGGAGTCCGACCTACTATGATGCGAGGAGCCGCGAGGAGGAGCGAGGAGGAGCAGGTCGAGATTGCTGATGGGCGTACAGATGCATCGGCACAGACTCGGAGGCGCAGGGCCAGTGATGTGGTGGAGGAGCAAATGGGAGGAGATGCAACAACATGGACATGGATACAATTTCTCACTCCTGTTGGACAAGTTCTCCTTGACTTACATCGCTGCTGCTGCTGCTGCTGCTGCTGCTGCTTCTGCTCCTCCTCCTCCTCCTCCTCCTCCTCCTCCTCCTCCTCCTCCTGGTCTTATATCCCTCCTAAATTGTGCATTCATCACATGCTTTGAGCTGCAAGAGGTTTTGCCTTCCCCTCTCCTTCTCCTCTTCCCTTCCTCAGTACCGCCAGCAAGATCGCAGCTCCCGCCGCCATGCCGATGGCGCCGATCCCCACTGACGCGGCCGTGCGAACGGAGGGAGAAGCATTGGAGCCACGAAGGATGGCAGCAAGAGCCCAGGATACAGCACCAGCGTAGCCAAGGGAAAGAGAACCTGAGACAACGGTGAGAAGAGAACCAGGGAAATGAATCGTCACAACAGCAACATACACCATGGCTACACCTCCTCTCCTCGTGCTCTCCACGCTCAACCTTCCCATCTCTGACTCCCCTCCCCTCCCCTCCCCTCCCCTCCTTCAGCCTCACCTGCCCCCCATGAGTAGAAGGATGCGATCGCCCCAACGCTCGCCATGCCAGCAAGTGTCACAGGGAGACCAGCGCCGAGCTCCTCCTTCCCTCCTGCCATGCTCTGTCCAACCAGTGCGATCCCGATGCAAGAGGCGGCGCTCAGCCATCCGGCGTTGATGGCAGAAGGAAGGCGCAGAAACAAAGTACTCGCAACGTTGCTCTCTACCTTCCTCAAGCGTCTGCATGCCTCTAAGCCACTAGCGTAGGCTGCACAGAGGAAGAAGCTGCATGGAACAAAGATAGCAAGCTGTGATGATGCAGGAGCATTCTGCGACAGGGGAGCATGCACGAAGACAAGCTGCCAAAGGTTCTGCGCCGCCCACATCATGAGCCATGGCTTGCAGACAGCAGCAGCATTCTTCTGGTTGACGTTGGACCTGTCCGAGCTGGAGATGAGCGAGAGGATGACTCCTCCTCCCTGCAGCAGGAAGATGATGCCCCATATGGAGAACGCGTAGCCGGCGGGGGTGATGCTCGTCGGCCATAGTCCAGAGATCTTGGCGTTGGTTGGGCCCATTGTTCCATTCATGGCCATGGCGTTGACGGCGATCAGAGCACCATATCCTCCTGCCATTCCAAGCTTCCATGCTGCACTCAGATGATCCTCACCACCACCACCACCTCCTCCCTTGCCTCCTCCCGTCTTGCTTCCTGCGGCTCCCATGAAACTGGACAAACAAGGACCCCCTCCACCCCCTCTCATCTACCCTCACCCTTTTCTGAACAACTGTTAATACCTTAAACCCCAAAAATTCCCTTGAATTGTAGGGGTACTCTGAGGTATCCCCTCCTAAAGAGATCGAGGATACCCCCATTTTTATCACCCCCTACCCTCAGGGACCTCAGCCTTTATATGAGTCACAGGCTGTCCGACGACTAGTGGTGACTGAACTTCAAGAAGGCCCCGAAGCCGCCTAGTACTACTTGAAGCCCGCCGAGCCTGAGTCACGTGTCGCCGGTCATCTTGCCGTACTAGTACCGGCCGACTCTCGACCAGGCTCAGATGGCCCATCATTGCGGAGTGAAGCCTGCCAGGCCGGGCCGGGCCGGAGAGGGCGGCTTCACTGAGTGGCTCCCACTGGCCCACCTCCCCACCTCGGGCCAGAACTCCTCCCCCACCTCCCAGGCTACCTCCACCGTCTCCCCTAAGTTGGAGTCATCAGTACCATCAGGACAAACTCTCAGTCCATGGTATTTTCTAATGCTGAAGTGCTCGGCCTCCGACTCAGGATGAGATTCGTAGCTTCACTGACGAGGCTCAAGGGCAGGTGTTAGGGAACAGGCAGACGAACGTGTCAGGCTCGAGGGTGTAGGCTGACTTGGCTTGCGACACGTCAAAGTTCAGCTGACGCAGGGAAGCAACCTGCGTGGCATCAGGCGAGGTATCGCAAGGCAGCAGGTGGTCGACCGTTACGGAGAACAGGTTGGCGATGGAAAGGAGGGTATCCCCTAGCACGACCTTGTACGACCTTCCGATGTTTACCTGCAAGACTTATCAGCCATCCTCCCAGCTCCCCTTCAGCTCCAGCCGGGCTCGAGGCTGACTGACCTCTTGCCCAACATCCACCGTCGAGTTGTCAAGTTGTGCATTCAATCCCCAGATCGTCAACCTGCCATGGCCTCAGAGCCCAGCTGCACACCAGAAGCAACCCCACCAGTCAGCCTTGAAGATCTGCCCGATCCGCTGCAGATCGTCACCTGCCAGATCGTCAGCACGATGACGGACGGAAAAGGAGCAGGGGCACCGGGCTGAGCCATGTATTTACACTTGGGGACCACAACTCGGATGCAGACGGACGTGCTGGCGACCTGGCAGCATCCAGTCACTAGTCAGCATGAGCATGCAGCTGCTATCCACCGCTGGTCTCGAGATATCTCCTCTTGCTGGGGGAGCAGAAGGTGAGAAGGAATACGAACGTAAAGAGGTGCAAGTGACCAACCTGATAGGCGGAAACAGATCGTCTTGTTGTACCCTCCCATGTTGATATCAGGCCGCCATGAAAATCTGGCGAGAGACTGGTCAGGGTGGTAACTTGCTGCCTCCTTCCTATCCTCTGTGCTGCACGTTGTTTTCTCCCGCTCCTTCTGCCCTTCCCTCCATGCTCCAACTTACTCTGCCGTCAGTTGTGCGACATTGACGCTGTCCGTCGCTTTGACTTTGGTCTGCTGACTTGGCGTGTTGACAGTCACAACCTGCAGCGTCGAAGAATTAACTGAGAGAGACGGAGACATCGGCATACGAACCTGCCCATACTCGATCGTGCCTTCCACGGAGATTTCCAAGAGGTCATACGGGATACTGATCCAGAGATTCAAACTAGCTTGTGTTGCAACAGGAGCATTCACCTGCTCTGTCCGATGATAGAGACAGTCTTCGTATCCCTCATGTAGAACGACACCGACTGGTTGGCCGTCGGGGTCGCGAAGCTCAGCACAGCCTGCAACAAGTTCCGTCAGTCCCATGAGTGCTGACATGTAGCGGATGGACTTAACCTGCTGCTCGACTACTGTAACACTGATGCACTTCTGTACCACCACCAATGTCACCAACCCCCCCGGCGAGCGCAACACAAGGATCACCTGCTCAGAATGTGTACCAATCCCATCTACAGCCTCATAACAGATCCAGTGCACTCCAGTCTGCAGCTCATCTCTTCAGCACACGTCGATTCGCCCGCATCGCACTTTTCATGTGCCGATGCATGTACCTGCTTCGCGCTCGGCATCCAATGCACGTCGACCGAGGCCAACACGTCGGTGTTGCGGGCGTTTTGCGTCCGACCCCCTTCAGGCAGCTGAAAGATTCGAATCCCCTGGATCTGCATGTGACGTCAGCTAGGATGAAGAAATGCTCCACTTCATACGGATCTCTGATTTGAAGATGTCGCGGATATAGTGAAGAACACGTCGTATCCGACGTATCCCTGTAGTGTAGAGACCGTGGGGCTAAGGAATGTCGGCCTCACTGCCCAGTCTGCTTCAGGAACCGTGTTGACGACGAAGAGCAGCGGGACCATGAATCCGGGAACCGACAGAGTTTGCACAATCACTGAGAACGCACGTTGACAAGAGCCCTGATAACTTGGGTTGGTCACTGAAAAGTTGGTTGTCAGCAGCCCGCCGAGGTAGTCCGGCCCGTTGAAGAAGAACACATTCCGGTCAATTGACAGCCCGCTGGTTTCCAGCCCTTGGCCAAGGCGCCAGAAAGGAGAGTTGATCCCTCCTGGCGTGTTGGCGGGCAGCTGGATCGTGCTCGCCATGTGCTCCTGGACGTAAACTGCTGGAAGCGACTTGAATGATGGCGAGGCCGGAGCGTTGAGGAGGTCGACGTATGCAGTGAGGTTGAAGGGCTTGTATGAGCAAGGCAGACAGCAGCCTTGCAACGTTGCCACCCACGGCGCACCGTTGTTGTTGGGTGCTGGGTATGAGGCATACATGTAGTACGCCTCCCCGTAGACGTAGTTCTGGTCGACTTCCTGCACAAACATCTGGATCCTGGATGATGGACCATGGCCAGGGTTGAAGACAACTGTTCCACTGTCCACTCCTGCTGTTCCTACGACATCCACCACGTCGCCTCCCTGCACTGTCCTGAACTCGGCGGTCCTGCTCCACCGCATTGGTATCACAAACTTCACCACGTTCCCCATCTCCTGACTGTATCTAATCGTTGCATATTGCAGCTCTGACGCTGTTACGGGCTTGAAGACACAAATGAATATAAACATGTAAGTAAGAAGTAAGAATGATGAGCTCCTCGCTCGAAAGTCCAAGCCTCTATTGCTGGTTACGCTGCTTCCCCTACCATGCGATAGTATGCCTAAGGAGTTGCCCATGTCATCCATGGCATCGCAACTATCGCAGGGATCTGTGAGTCTTGTTGCTCTTGTTCTGATCCTCTCAGACGCGTCGCAGTGCATTCCAGAGCCTCGTCGCTCTCTTAAACCGTCATCGTCCGAGAGGAGGTAACGTAGGTCACGGTGCGGGGCTCCAGAAGAAGGAAATGCTTGCGACTGTGAGGAGGCAGAGGAGGCAGAGGAGGCAGAGGAGGCAGAGGAGGAGGAGACTTGGAGACTCTCGAGGAGGATGCTTCTCTCTCCTGGACCAGCAGGAGCTGCATGGCGAACCTCTCGCCGCCTCCGCCCTGCCATGGCCTTTCGAGATAGGGGGCAGGTCCAATCTCCTGTAGGGAGAAAAGAGGGTAGTCATTGAATTTGGTGGGTAGGGGTATTGAGAGTACCCCTGATTTGTTTTTAACTATGACATATGGGGTACAATTCAAGGGCAATTGGGGGTGAAACATGGGAAATGTGGTGTTCAATGGGGTGGGTACATCAAGTTAAGGGGTACCGGGATGCGAGACTCTAATCAGTCCCAGAGGTAATTGGGGGTAGTCAATCCTTCTGATCCGCCAATGATGGCTGACCGTATGGTATTTGGCCGCCGGTACCGGTCCCGGGCCTCAGTGATGACATGCACGTGCAACCCGCCTCAGAGACTGTCCTATTTTGTGAGCGACAGCATTGACAGGAGAGGAGGAGAGGAGGGAGAGGGAGAGGGAGAGGAGAGGAGAAGACAGACAGAGGATTGAAGCTATACAGCTGTGAAGAAGGTACGGAGAATGGGGCGCGAGTCAGGAAGGAGGAGGGCTCGTAGAGAGATCGTCTACCACATGCACAAGAACGGTGTGAGCATGGAGGGCAGAAGGGAGATGACGGAGCAGGAGGTGGAATACTTCATGGAGGCCATCAACATGGGGCAGAAACAGAAGTTCGGCCTTGTTAAGCTCAGCCAGCTCAACCTCGATGCACTCGTTCCCTCCCCTGCGGACCTCCCCTGGCACCCCAGGACAACGCTCCTGGCCTACGCAGCCTGGAAGAAGAAGGATGGGGTGACTGGTGCTCTGCTGCGTGCAGGAGCGGACGCGAGTGTGCGGCATGACGAGCAGAGCGAGGAGAGGAGAGGCGACTCGTCTCAGATGTCCCGGGAATGTCTGGCGAAGGTGCAGGCGAGGACGGCAGTGTGGATTGTGAACGAGGTGGTTCGAATGCGAGCGAACATGGCGGCGGCGGAGGAGAGGCTGAGGGCCGAGGGCTGGGCATGCGCAGACTGCTCGAGTAGAGACGCCTGCTCCGTCCTCTGCTCCGAGTGTAAGAGAGTCACGTGCGAAATCTGCCTATGGGCCCGCTTGTCACGTGACTCCCACAGCTTCTGCGCGTGCGGGAGGGGAGACGTAGTGGAGCAGGTGCTGGCGGGCATGGGGGAGGAGCAAGATGGCAGCTCGATGGAGAGGAAGAGAGCCTCGTACGAGAGGTGGAGAGAACTACCAGGCAACCTGCCCTCCAAGGAGGAAGGCAAGCTGCAGCAGCTCAAGATCCCTTTCTTCCGTGCGATGCCCGAGGAGGAGGTGGCGAGGTTTTTCGTAGGAGCGACGAGGGGGCAGAGGATGAAGGAGCTGTGGAAGGCGAGCGTGAAGGGAGACGTGCTGCGACTGCGAGCTCTCGTCGACGTTGGTGTCGACGTGGATGGAAGAAACGAGTATGCCTTACTCCTGCTCCTGCTACACTGCTCCTCCTCCTCCTCCTCTTGTCCACTGCTTTTATCTTTCTTGTACGTCACTCGGTTTTCATTCTCGTCCGTTGTCTTCTCATGATATCTCATAATGTTGCTGCAGCAATTTTCTTTCATCATCTTGTTTCGTACGATCAGCTCACTGAACGTTCCTCCTGAATGTCAACTTGTCTTGTGTTGCAATGATCTGATCTCATCATTCCTCTCCTCTCTGCTCCCCATTCTCTATCTTCCTCCTGTCCTGTCCTGTCCTGTCATGTCATGTACCTTCGTCCTGTCCCGTCCCCCTTCTCTACCTCGTCTCCTCTCCTCTCCTGCTCCCTCACTGCCCCAACGTTTTACAGGTACGGACAGACGGCATTGTTCATGACAGCGATGGCGGGTCATGCGGATGCTTTCAAGCTCTTGTACATCTGGGCAGGAGCAGACGAAACGCTCGCTGCCAACGGTGGGAGCACGTGCCAGCGGGTAGCGGCAGCGCGCCAGCATCGCTCCGTCCTCCAGGTCATGAAGGACTGCAAGGTCAAGGACATGGCAAGGTCGCTGGATTGTCTCCTCCTTGAGCAAGAGAAAGTTCGTACAGACTGGCTCAACGAACTCGTGCTCCCCCACTCCTCGTCCTCTTCCTCCTCCCCGTCATCCTCCGCCTCCTCCTTCTCATCCTCAGTGCAACTGCTCATTGGTGACAGCGTCGACCATCCTGGAGCCGGCAGCTTCTTGCTCGACGAGTTGTTTCCTCCCCTTTTCCTCGACAGGCTGGAGAAACTTTGGGAGTCGCTGGACAGGACAGGAATGGTGGAGCCGGAGGGAGGAGGAGCAGAGAAAGGAGGAGCAGATTCGGAGGAGAAGATCTTTGGGGACAAAGAGGCAGCAGCAGAGTTTGCTTACAACAGAACATGCGGTCTTCAGAGATCTTACTTCTGCGATGACGAGGGATGGGTGAAGTGAGCTTGTCTTGCATGTTCTGTCGACCTCCCTCTGACTCTCCCTTTCCTCCTTGTCCTGGTCTTTTTTGCCCCACTCCTCCTCCTCCTCCTCCTCCTCCTCCTCCTCCTCCTCTTCCTCCTCCTCCTCTTCCTCCTCCTCCTCTTCCTCCTCCTCCTCCTCAGGTTTGGGATAGAAAGCGCTCTTAAGCGGGTGTATCAAGACGGTCTCATCGCAGGCTGGTGGCCGCGAGGTCTCTCGAGCTTCTCCTCGTCGCTGCTCACTGGACGGCAGGTGGAGGGCCGGAGGTTCTGCCCTACATGCGCTTCCTCTTCTACCCCCAGCCGGGCGGGTGAGTTCTACAGCTCCCCGTGACTAAGAGGAGTGGAAGAGAGGAAAGGAGCAAGGGGGGAGGGAGGGAGGGGGGGGGGGCAGGAGGGAGGGCAAGAGGGGAGGGAAAAGAGGAGTAAGGAAGGGGAGGAGCCAGGGGGGGAATTTAGGACCTCCCTCACCCCTACTAATTCCAGATGACAAGACCCCTACCAATCCCCCACATGACCGCCGGAAAAAGTTCTTTCACCCATATTATAACATTTGGGATCCCGTTATCGTCACTGTCTCCCTCGAAACTCTTCGGGGATCTTGGGCCACAGGAGGACAGGTCCCAAAAGACACCTGGGCATCAGGTCTTACCCCCTCATGGAACCCCTCTCTTCTTACCCCATCCTTTCCCTTCCGATGTCATCTTCCTCCGCCACCCCTTTTATCCTTTCGTTGTATTGACGGACTTG